GATTGTTTGAATACGGCTGTAGTTTAGATTAATCTAATGATTGTTTGAATACGGCTGTAGTTTAGATTAATCTAAAGATTGTTTGAACGTTTGGGTCACTGAATAATTGTCACTGATCTATTTCAGCATTATAAAAATTTAAAGCTCTAAATAAAAACATGTTATCAAACCAAAGACGTGCGTTCATAAATCAAATATATTCTTCAGACACTTTGGTTTATTGTGGTTTCTGTCAATATAAAGATCAAATGACTGAATGGATCTAACGAGGTCTTGTTCCTGTCAGAGATCTCTTTAAACCTTCTAGCAGTAATATTACGGTTTCCACCAACAAAGAGCTAAAATATTTGAGCTGATCAGTTCAGTTTTATTTATAAAGCACCAAGTTACAGCCGGAGTCGTCTCTGAACAGATTAATACGAGAAAGAAATCCTCACTGAGGATCAAACCATAGTTCATCAGGTGCAAGGCTGGAACGCTCTGAGCTTCACTGGAAGTCACACATTCATGTTAGCTCCGCCCCTCCAAGCTTCAGGTACGCTCCTCACCTGTCGGGTGTTCAAAGGAATGAATCACCCCTGACCTCCCGGGATTTCCGCCCCAGCTCCCACGCTTGCTCCAGAGGATCCATGCCCACATGGATACCACGATGTCGTCAGGTAATGTTGCTTGTGCAGCTGCTCGGTGCGAAGTTGAAAAGCATGCAGGCGGAGTCTGAGCTCGTTTTCTGGGTCCTGAACTGACTGCAAGAATCCAATACGAGCAGCTCCAGAACTCCGGGTCCAACACGGTTTTCTGCAGCACCAAGGCCTCACGAGGATCACATGTGTCACCCTTCTTCCTGACTCTGGTCACTTACAGAAACCTGGACGCCAGATTTCTTCAGAGGTTCTGAGTGTCTGATCCTGTTTGTCCATGGACGGGATTTTAATGTGCAGCTGTAGAGAAGGTATCTGGTCTCCTCTAACACCCAGTGGGCCAGCAGCTCCTCTCTCTTTTGCAGATGACGTAGTTCTGCTGGCGTCCTCAAGTCTTGACCTTCAGTGGAACCGAAGGCCAGGATGAAGGTCAGCTCCTGAGGCCATGGTACTGACCTGGAAAAGAGCAGAATGTTCTGTTCAGGTTGGAGAGAAGTTGCTGTCAAGTGGAGAAGTTCACGTTTTAATGGTTTGGTTTAGTTTCCTTGTTGACAGGTGAAGGCTGAGTTCAGGATGGATCATCAGGACCAACTCTGTAGTATTGAGGGGATTGCTCCGGTCTGTCATGCTCAAAAAGGAGCTGAACAAAAACCTACAGCTCAGGGTCTACTTGATACAAACTCCATGATTATGCTCTAAATTAATATTTTGAAAAAATAAAATAAAATCTGTATGCCTTTTTATACGTAACTGTCCATTGTTGTCATCTTTCTTTGTTAAATCAGGTCTCTCTTGTAAATGAGTCCTCGAGGCTCAATGGGATTTACCTGTAGAAATAAAGGATGAATGAATTTTACCAACGAACACCTTTTCCCACCTGAATGAGTCCACCAGGTGACGCTCCAACATCTGGAAACAAAACCAACACAACCATCAACTTTCAGATTAGTTCGGAAAACAAAGAATCCAGATCCAGCCTGATCTGTGCTCTTCAGGTTCTGTAGCTGCAAAACAAGCCCAAACCATCAGCCTTCCACCACCGTGCTTAACCGTAGGAGATGGGTTTTGTTCTAAAGAATCTTTAAACTGAGGAGATCAATGATTCAGGTGTTCAAACAGAAGGTTTTTGGTTCAATCAGAACTTTTATTTGTCTCAGGTCAGTTTTGTTTACACAGCACAACATTGAACAAACATCCCATGAATCATTAAAATAATCAAATGAAAACATCGAGTCTGATTCGATCGTGTGACTCTGCAGAGTTCCTCATCAGTCTGGATCTCAGTTTGTTTCCATCAGCAGAGCTCCACCTTCCACTAACCTCACCTGTTACCTGTTCATGATCAGCACACCTGGATTTACTGTCACCTGCTGTCAGAACCAAAACTTCACATCATGGACTTCATGTCATCTGTACAGATTATTAAGCACATGTGACACTGATCAATCAATCAGATCAATACTTCTCCAACTTCCTGTTTCAGGTCACTGAGTTTCAAACTGATCTAAAAGGCTGAACTTTGTTTTCAGCAGGAGGAACATCAGAGCTGCTGCTGGACCACCGAGATCTTCTCTGGTCGTATTTTTAGTTCATCTGTAGTGTAAATGTACGGAAACATCTTGTCAGTGAAGGTGTGTGTGAAGGTGTGTATGTGTGTGTTTGTATCAGGGTCAGAGAACGACAGCTTCCCTCTGTTCCAGTCCAGATTCACTCTGATCCTCTGGAGCTTTTTATGAACTGGGAGAACTTTGATAGGACCTGCTGGTGAATCTGCTCTGTACCTTCATAGAACCACCATCTCCATAATCCAGACCATATGTCTGTCTTCTTCTGGGCTGACTCTGCCAACACACCAAGGCTCCACTTTTCACAGTCTCCAACTTCAACAACTCAGCTGTGATTTCCTGAGTTAAAACCCTCAGAACTCAAAACAGAACACAAAATATTTAATCTCTCAGGATTATCAGGAAGCTGCTGGTCGTCTCCTGGTCTCACACTGGTCAGATCTTCAGACAGGACGAGTCTTAGACCAGCAGTGTTTGGGTCCAGAATGATGGGGGTGTAGGAGACCATGTCCTTCATGTTGTTCCAGATGTTGAAGGCCAGGTTGCCCAGATGTTTGGCCTGGTCTATCAGAGCTCCTGAGGGCAGCTGTGGATCCTCCAGCAGGGAGCAGCGCTGGACTCTTTCCACTGCAGCCTTGTAGTTGTGCAGGAAGAAGACATCTTCAGCTCTCAGCTCCTCCTCTGTGGCTCTGACTGTGTCTGAAAGAGCTTCCATCTCTCTGCTCAGAGCCTCCATCTTCTCCTTCATCATCCCACTCTTCTGCTCCTCTTCCTCCTTCAGAGCAGCCAGCCTGGCCTCCTCTTCCTCTGTTAGAAACTGGTGAAGCTTCTTAAACTGCTCCTTCATCTGCCTCTCTGTGAGTCGAGCCTGGACCTTCATGTGTTCTGCTGTCTGATCAAACTTAGAGTGAACTTTCTTCTGGACCTCGAGCTTCTTCTTCAGTGGTTTCAGGGACCTCAGCAGATCCTCTCTGTGTTCCTCTGCAGCTTCATCGATGGGTCTGAATCTGTGGTCGGTGTGTTTCTTTGAGTCTCTGCAGACGAGACAAACTGGTTCCTGATGGTCCAGACAGAAGAGCCTGAGTTTCTCAGAGTGCAGACTGCAGAGAGCCTCTGAAGCTCTCTGATGGTTCTCCTGTAAGAAGGACTCACAGATGTTCTTCAGAGCCCGGTTACAGGCTGGATCCACATTTGAAGATCTCTTCCTACAAACAGGACACTCCTGTGCTGGTTTCTCTCTCCACCAGTTCTTCAGACAGACTTTACAGAAGCTGTGGCTACATGGCAGAAGAACAGGATCTCTGAAGACCTCCTGACAGACTGGACAGCAGA